GCCGCCGCCTCCGCCCACGCCCTGCCCGGCATCCAGCCGCCCTCCCTCACGGACTTCGAGAGCGCCTTCTGCAAGGTGCGCCCCCACGCCACCGCCAAGGAGCTGGACAGCGGCACGGAGTGGAGCAAGGCCTACGGGCACTGAGTCCCGCGGCCACGGGCCGGGCATCGCTGGCCTCTTACCTTCCCAGTACTGCTTTCCCAGCCGACAGGGGGCGACCGCTTGTGGGGTTGTGTGTGTGTGTGGGGGGGGGGGCTAGGCTTCATTGTTGGTTTTTCCTGGTGAATGTGCCATCACGTGCTGTTTTTCCTTTTCCTATACGTGTATATATATATTTTCCCAAAGAGCCAAATCAGTGGACGTTTTTTCCAGGCTGGGGGGGCGGGGTGGTGAACGGGGCAGTCTTAGTGACTACAGGTTGTAGATTGCTACTCTCAGGATCCTATTTATTACCAGTCTGCAGCCACGGCGCCGGGAGGCGCTGGCCTGGGGTTGTGGGGGAGGGGGGAGGGGTGTTTGTGTGAACTGGCCTCGGCCTCGGGACTGCAAGACAACCTTCCCCGCGACAAAGACCGCTGCCGCCGAGCCACGGGTCAGGCGGTAACAGCCCCCCGGGGTGCGCTTGTGCCCCCCCCCCGAGCCCCTCAGACCTTCAGCAGGGGTCCCCATGCTGGACGGGCCCGGCTGCGCCCGGATCGCACAGCGGAGACGCACCAAAGAGCTTCTCCTGCCCGCAGAAGAAGCAGCCCTGCAGTGCCGAGCGCAGCGGTCCGTTACTGCCGGGCCGGGCCTGCAGGTTCTCTCCCGACCGGCCGCTCATCTCGCCCCTCTCTGGGCGGCCTGGCACCTCTCCCAGGGGGAGAGCAGTCGCCCAGTTCTGGGACAGCGCCCTCTCCAGGGAGATGGGTGCAGCGAGCGTCGGCGCCATCACCGTGGCGCGTTGCTCCCCGATCTCGTCCACGGGCATTGTGGGAAGGTTTCTTACAGTCCCGAATCGCAGACTGTTGACGTTTGCCGACGTCCTTTCGTTTTTTGGAATTTTTTTATTCTTAATATATGTAGTCTTGTTTCAAATACTCAGGAAAAATTTCTTTACCTCAGAATGAAAAAAAAAAAGGCGCAGAAGAAGAATGAATGTATAGTAACTGTACGGGCCTCTCGTTCACTGTCCGAGAGAGAGGAGGACAGAGGAACCACTCTGCAGCTGAGCCTTCTCAGCAAAAAACTTGAAACTCTTACCAAGGCTAACATTGAATGTAATTCAGGTATTTTACAAAGGATATCCTTATGATGCCATAAATCCATGTTTTTTGATTATATATATATATTTTTCCCCATCCCACTTTATTTTTACTGTAGAATTTTGGTGGAGTGATGTTTGTCTTCATGAAGTGTTGAGTAGATTTTAATCAAAGAATCTATTTTTCTTTTACGGGCAAACCGTTTTTCCCGTTGTTCTGAATGGGCCCAGACGTGGGGTAGTCCTGCAGAACCCCGGTCGGTCTCGGGGCTGTGGTCCAGAGGGAACACTGGCTTTCTACAGCCCTGCCCAGCCTTATTTATTCAGTAAGACGTGTGGAAGGTGAGGGTTTTAACACCAGTCCCAATCCGTGCCATAGTACTTTCCAGAACCTGTCAGGAAATGGATCTGGTTTGCTTTGTCTTCCTTATCTGTGTCATGTGCCGAAGACTGACGTAACCTTTCTGCCAGCAGCCATGCACTGCCCCTGCGGTCGGTAGATTCTCATACAGTGGGGGGCATCCTTGCAGCTGGGGTGTGGAGAATGATAACGGTTTAATGTGATCAATAACGGCTCGTGTGCACATATTCGAACAAGGGGCCTGCTTGCCCACAGTCATGTGCTAAGAGGTCAAAGCGAAAGATCCATGTTCTGACTGGGCCCAGCAAACCAGCAGCACCAGAGAACCTCCAGGAGAGGGTTTTCATCCCCCCAAGGGTGTTAGGCCAGAGGGCGTCAGTCCAGAGAGCATTAACCTGGAGGGCATTAGTCCAGAGGGCATCAATCTGAAGGGCATTAGTCCAGAGGGCATTGATCTGGAGGGGAGTAAGTCCAGAGGGAGTCAGTCCAGAGGGCATTGATCTGGAGGGAGTCAGTCCAGAGGGCGTCAGTCCAGAGGGCATTGATCTGGAGGGAGTCAGTCCAGAGGGCATTAATTTGAAGGGCGTTAGTCCAGAGGGCGTCAGTCCAGAGGGCATCGATCTGGAGGGAGTCAGTCCAGAGGGTGTCCAGAGCCAGACCGCAGGCCAGAATGACGAGAGCTGTCACACCCCGCCAGCACTACCGCAGCTGCCTCGAGGGGGTGGGCTGGGTCGAGGAAAGGCCTATCGACATGAATCTGCCTGGCCACGCGTTTCACAATGGGGAGAAAGAGATAAAAGAGCTTTACCCCTTCGCTGAAGATTTTTGTGAGCTCTTGTTGGCAGCACCTTTAGCGGGACACCAGCTACCCTCCCTCCAGCCGCTGCGGGGAGAGGAGGGTCTGCCTGCCGTGCAGGAGTGACGGATTGCAGGGACTATAGGCGTCGGCCCCCTCGCACGCGAAGCCTGGGGCTGTGGGCTCCTGATTGATGTCCAGTTACCCCACATTACTATTCAGCTGGTCCTGTGCAACTGCAGGCCTCCGTCATGCTGCAAGACCAGGTCAATCAGAATGACCTTCACTGGACACATTGATCGGCAGGGAGGAGGGCAGAAAAATCGCACTCGGGCGTCCATGGGAGAGCATCTCTTTGCGATGCAAGTCCACGAGACGAAGGGGGCTCTTCGTTCGCTTCTCGTGCGTTTTTACCAGCACCGAAACACGGCACTGAGAAAGCAGGAGAAGCCAGCCCAGGGGTTCTGTCCATGAGAGACACTGTCCCCTTTTGGGGTCCGGTCCTGCCCATGATCTGGCTGTGACGCTCACAGACCAGGGCCGCCTCCTTCCAGCTCATCCCTCAGCGCTTCGGAGCAGGGCGGCACCTTCCCTGACCCGCCCCAGCAGAGCTCTTTAATTGCCCCTATAACCGCCCCCACTAATTGAATGTGGGTTTTGCTGAGCAGCTTTTAAACAGTCTGGGCCTTGCTCTGTAAAGTGTGAGATCTCCAGGAGCGCTGTGGGCTAGCTGGTGGGCCGAGAGCTCCAGGGGCTGGGTATGGCCCGTCTGACTGATGACTGGCGAGAGGGGCCACAGTGTGCCCCCTTCAGCTCAGCGATTCTGTGTTGGGGATGGGGGAGGGCTTTGAGAATGTATTCACAGGGGCACTGCAAGGTAGAATGGAATTCAAACCTAACCTGCATATTAAACCTGCCTCTGTCAAGATGCAGCACAGTGATTAATGCCTGAGACAGGAGATACAACCATTTACTGTTCCCACCAGTAAGCAGGTGACCATTTGTTTTCCCAAAGACATTGCCAAGTTTTATGCAGTAATTGACAGAAGCTTAATGATGATCATATTTGCAAAAAAAAACAATTATGCTATAATCGACTATGAAAATCATTCTTTACATGAATGTCCCTGCAGGATCTCCTGCTCAAGTTCACACAGGTGCCAGGCTTAAGAGCCTGTAAGAGCCCCCGTGAATGTGAGATCCTGTGGTCATCTTCATTGTGACCACATTGTGCAGACAACTCCCCCAGGACCAGGACTGGACACCCTGCAGACACACTGACCCCCCCCCAGGACCAGGACTGGACACCCTGCAGACACACTGACCCCCCAGGACCAGGACTGGACA